CTGCTCTCTCTTTCTAGTCCCTGTCAGGACTCTTGCTGCAGCATTTTGGATCAGCTGAAGGCTTTTCAGTGAGTTTTTTGGACATCCTGATAATAATGAATTACAGTCGTCCAGCCTGGAAGTAATAAATGCATGAACTAGTTTTTCAGCGTCACTCTGAGACAGGATATTTCTAACTTTAGAGATGTTGCGCAAATGGAAGAACGCAGTCTTACATATTTGTTTAATATGTGCGTTGAAGGACATGTCCTGGTCAAAAATGACTCCAAGGTTCCTCACAGCGTTACTGGAGGCCAAGGTAATGCCATCCAGAGTAAGAATCTGGTTAGATACCATATTTCTAAGCTTTTCAGGGCCGAGTACAATAACCTCAGTTTGATCTGAATTAAGAAGCAGAAAGTTAGCGGCCATCCAGGTCTTTATGTCTTTAAGACATTCCTGCAGTTTAACTCATTGGTGTGTGTTATCTGGCTTCATGGACAGATAGAGCTGGGTGTCATCTGCATAGCAGTGTAAATGTATGCTATGTCTTCTAATGATGCTGCCTAAGGGAAGCATGTATAATGTAAACAGAATTGGTCCTAGCACTGAACCCTGTGGAACTCCATAATTAACCTCAGTGTGTGAAGAGGACTCTCCATTTACATGCACAAACTGGAGTCTATTAGATAGATATGATACAAACCACTGCAGCGCAGTACCTGTAATACCTACAGCATGTTCTAATCGCTCTAATAGGATATTATGGTCGACAGTATCGAACGCTGCACTGAGGTCTAGCAGGACAAGCACAGAGATGAGTCCACTGTCAGAGGCCATAAGAAGATCATTTGTAACCTTCACTAAAGCTGTTTCTGTGCTGTGATGAGCTCTGAAACCTGACTGAAACTCTTCAAATAAACCATTCCTCTGCAGATGATCTGTTAGCTGTTTGACAACTACTCTTTCAAGGATTTTTGATATGAAAGGAAGGTTGGAGATTGGCCTATAATTAGCTAAGACTGCTGGGTCTAGAGATGCTTTTTGAGTAAAGGTTTAACTACAGCTAGCTTGAAGGCCTGTGGTACATAGCCGATCATTAGAGATAGGTTGATCATATTTAAGATCGAAGAATTAATTAATGGCAGGACTTCTTTGAGCAGTTTTGTAGGAATGGGGTCTAAAAGACACGTTGATGGCTTGGAGGAAGTAATTATTGAAGTTAACTCAGAAAGATCAATTGGAGAAAAAGATCAATTGGAGAAACTAAGATAGATAGCACAAACTAAGCACGCTGTGGTTAACACCTGCTTAATCTCTGAGCTTATTTTATATCTATGTTACAAATACCTTAATGAGCGCTTGAAGCTTGGGTTACTCTGGCTTTGATCTATAAAAAGGAGGTCAAGGCTTCAATAGAGCACAGTGAGACAACTCAGTCACTGAGAGGAATATTTCCTATATTCATGCAATGTATTATTTTTAAACAATCGTGTGAATTTGTGTATTGATGTACTTTTCTTGATTTCATCTGTACAGGTGTTCTACACACTAACTCATGTGACTGTAATGCTGTGATAGTTTACATTTGTCCCTACTGGCTTGCTGAACATAAGGATTCCTCTCAGGTCATGAGTATTTTGTCTTATTTGGAACAAGTTCTGGATGTTGTGGGGCAAAGATTTATTTGCTGCTTTGTACATTGTTTGCACAGTTCTTAAACATTAAAGTTCATTACATTAAAATTAGAAAAAGACCAAATAATATTTGAAAGGGTTACGAGGAGAAAGCCTCATCTTTCAGTTGCTTCTGAACAAACCCAAACTTCTGGAAAAATTTGCTTTAGACAGATGAGACCAAAATGGAGATGTTTGCCTATAACATAGCACCACATGTGGAAAAACAAACACAACTCATCAGCACAAACACCTCATACCAAGTGTCAAGCCCAGTGCTGAGAGGGTGATGATTTGGGCTTGCTTTGCAGGGACAGTCCCATGGCACCTTGCAGCAACTGATTCGACCACGAGCTCCTCCGTATGCTAAAGTATTCTAGAGTGAAAAGCGAGGCATCCAGTGCTGCAAAGTCCAGACTTCAACCAGATTAATACTGCAGAAGGACCTGTAGGTGTATTTAATTATCCACATGGCCCGAGTGTAAGTGATTCCAGCCTCCTCATGAAAAGACTGCAGCTGTTTGTATCAACAAACACATACTGAAACTATTCACTTGCACTCGTGTGTTTCTCCACTTTTGTTCAGTGTTTTCTTTTACTTACTGATATTTTACATATGTTAATCAAAGATGCTCCACTGTTTCACTCAATCCACAGAACTGCACCGTGTCCTAGTTTCCCCATTGGTCACATGATTGCATTTACTCCTCTTTGTCTACAACATTTCTCCTTTTCTTTCTTCTCTTGAATTTACATTTTTCAAACCCTTTAAAGGTATCTTGTACATGCATTATGGATCACACAACTTGGTTCCTCAGAAACACTCTTGTTTTAGAGTGTTGATGAAGTATAATGGTAAATATTGAGTTATTGATTAATTTTGAAAACAGGTGATGCTTTGCCAGAATAAGATGGCTGATATGCTTTATTTAAAATGTAGTTTCAAATGTTCATAGTTGACATGTTAATATTCACTGCTCATTACAAAGATGTTATTAGCACAAGTATATAAGTGCATTATAGCTATATTGAAACATGTATACTGTCAGGGTGGCAAAGCTATCTTTTTTCATGTCAAAAGAAAGGTGAGTGCAGGACTCAGGCTGACTGAGATTTTTCCCTGAAAGCCCTTCAGACTCAGTCTCCAGTTACAATGAAGTCATTTCAAGGCAGTGAGTAAGGATTGTGCTACTGAGGAAGAGGGGGAGGAGGAAGAAGGTGGTCAAATATATACCTTAAATCTGAAAAAATGCAGAGGAATTAAGCTGTGGCAGGTCTGTACTTTGATAAAGAATCACTGAATTTATGCAACAAGTAGCAATTATAGTGTGCGTACAGAACAAAAATGTATCCCTGCTTTTCATCAAATAAAAACCATTAAATGTTTCCCATTTTTGACTCCATTGAAAACAGTATACAGTGGGGCAAAAAAGTATTTAGTCAGCCACCGATTGTGCAAGTTCCTCCACTTAAAATGATGACAGAGGTCAGTAATTTGCACCAGAGGTACACTTCAACTGTGAGAGACAGAATGTGAAAAAAAAATCCATGAATCCACATGGTAGGATTTGTAAAGAATTTATTCGTAAATCAGGGTGGAAAATAAGTATTTGGTCAATAACAAAAATACAACTCAATACTTTGTAACATAACCTTTGTTGGCAATAACAGAGGTCAAACGTTTACTATAGGTCTTTACCAGGTTTGCACACACAGTAGCTGGTATTTTGGCCCATTCCTCCATGCAGATCTTCTCGAGAGCAGTGATGTTTTGGGGCTGTCGCCGAGCAACACGGACTTTCAACTCCCGCCACAGATTTTCTATGGGGTTGAGGTCTGGAGACTGGCTAGGCCACTCCAGGACTTTCAAATGCTTCTTACGGAGCCACTCCTTTGTTGCCCGGGCGGTGTGTTTTGGATCATTGTCATGTTGGAAGACCCAGCCTCGTTTCATCTTCAAAGTTCTCACTGATGGAAGGAGGTTTTGGCTCAAAATCTCACGATACATGGCCCCATTCATTCTGTCCTTAACACGGATCAGTCGTCCTGTCCCCTTGGCAGAAAAACAGCCCCATAGCATGATGTTTCCACCCCCATGCTTCACAGTAGGTATGGTGTTCTTGGGATGCAACTCAGTATTCTTCTTCCTCCAAACACGACGAGTTGAGTTTATACCAAAAAGTTCTACTTTGGTTTCATCTGACCACATGACATTCTCCCAATCCTCTGCTGTATCATCCATGTGCTCTCTGGCAAACTTCAGACGGGCCTGGACATGCACTGGCTTCAGCAGCGGAACACGTCTGGCACTGCGGGATTTGATTCCCTGCCGTTGTAGTGTGTTACTGATGGTGACCTTTGTTACTTTGGTCCCAGCTCTCTGCAGGTCATTCACCAGGTCCCCCCGTGTGGTTCTGGGATCTTTGCTCACCGTTCTCATGATCATTTTGACCCCACGGGATGAGATCTTGCGTGGAGCCCCAGATCGAGGGAGATTATCAGTGGTCTTGTATGTCTTCCATTTTCTGATGATTGCTCCCACAGTTGATTTTTTCACACCAAGCTGCTTGCCTATTGTAGATTCACTCTTCCCAGTCTGGTGCAGGTCTACAATACTTTTCCTGGTGTCCTTCGAAAGCTCTTTGGCGGAGTTTGGAGTCTGACTGTTTGAGGCTGTGGACAGGTGTCTTTTATACAGATGATGAGTTCAAACAGGTGCCATTCATACAGGTAACGAGTGGGGGACAGAAAAGCTTCTTACAGAAGACGTTACAGGTCTGTGAGAGCCAGAGATTTTCCTTGTTTGAGGTGACCAAATACTTATTTTCCACCCTGATTTACGAATAAATTCTTTACAAATCCTACCATGTGGATTCATGGATTTTTTTTTCACATTCTGTCTCTCACAGTTGAAGTGTACCTCTGGTGCAAATTACTGACCTCTGTCATCATTTTAAGTGGGGGAACTTGCACAATCGGTGGCTGACTAAATACTATTTTGCTCCACTGTATCTGGTTACATGCAGCTCATAATTATATATAAACACACATTATTTGTGTGTTTATATATAAGTGGAAACATTTTACTCATGTCCAAGTCCTTTTATAGAAACAGTATCAAACTCAAACTACAGCCCACTCTGATCTTTAGTTTAACTCAGGGGTGCCCAATCCCAGTCCTCGAGAGCTACTATCCTGCAGCTTTTAGATGCATCCCTACTCCAACACAGCTGAATCAAATGAATGGTTTGATTACCTCTTCAGCATGCCATCGTGTTTGGCAAAGGCCTGATAACAAGCCATTCATTTGATTCAGCTGTGTTGGAGTAGGGATGCATCTAAAAGCTGCAGGATAGTAGCTCTCGAGGACTGGGATTGGGCACCCCTGGTTTAACTGCACAATGAATCCCTGGACGATCTCAATATAAGAAAAAAGACATACACTTTTAAAATGTACGTCTCAGTTTTTCAACATGACAAAGAAATGCTGCTGTAGTTAATGACATAAATGAAATGCACGTACAAATGTACAAATAATATACCAATGTAATGTTAAATTATTTCTGTAATTAATTTTTTAAATAATCATATCGTCTACTACCCATTTTAAACTGGAACTTACTAGAATGGACGAGAAGACGGCTGCCGCCCTGCGGAACTATTTATCAGCTGCAGTGTCTACACGGACAGCAGTAAGGTAAACTACCCACTGCACTTCCGTTGCCCATGACACCGGAGCGAAGTTCTGACAGCTGATTCCTAAATCAGTTCATATCCATTTCGTGCCTCCAGGGCGTCATTTTTGAGGTTATTTACAGGCGCACGGAGCTGCTACGACTCTCGGCTGGAGTTGCAGACTGCGGCCCGAGCAGAGGAGGGGCGGCTGATTATGGTGTAGCGCGGAGCGCTAGCTCTGAGACAGCAGGTAACACAGATCACACACAGGCTAACAGCAGTTAGCACACAGACTTTGCGGGCAACTTTCAGCTGTACAGCTGCTCCCATCTGCGTTTAGAGAGGAATAACCCCGAGCCGAGGCTGCGTATGAGCTTGGGCATAGTGTCCAGCTAGCCGTGCTGAGCGGTGTGAGCCATTTGTTGTTGTTATTTTACGGTAACACAGCAGCCCACAGCTCGGAGACGAGGCAGTGACTTCACTCTGAAAAGTTTTAGTACGAGTCCTGAATGTGTTTGAAGCACTTTCAGCTCTGCACAAAGGTTTAACTCGTGTACTACACCTCTGTTTGGTTTGGGTGTTATAAGAAGGGAGTCGACTCCTTCTAGTTTGGGTCACGTTGGGTTTGGGTTTTGGGGAAGTTTGGGATTTAGGGAACATTTTCAGTTGCGCTGATCGCTGGAACTGCGGTAGGACTGACAGATGTGTCATATGTTGCCTGCTTACTGTTTGACCGGCATCCAGGTACTATGTGTCAAGGAGGTGCAGCAGTGAGTGACAGCTGAGGCAGGTGGGCCTTGACTCAGGCGCAGTGACACACATTTCACGGTCCGCTGATAGTTGATACCTTTAGTCTCTGCTTCCCACATCGCTCAGACTGGATTCACACTGACCGAGAGCTGCAGCCTGCGCTGTCTGTGAAGCAGTATCACAGTAAGAGCGCCGTGGCACATGATGTTTTCAAAAGACCATAAAGATTGAGTCTGATGTCAGATGAGAGCGGAGGACAAATATTGCATGTGCAATGTCTCATGATGTTCCAGATAAAAAATGTAACCTGTCAGGAAAAAGGTAAGATAGACCAGCTGACAGCAAGCCAATGCTGTCCTCTGTATGCCCCACTGATGATTTACCCTTAACAGTCAGGGTCACATTCTGCCTCAGACACTGTTTGTTTACAGTATATCTGTGTTCCTGGATTCAAGGTCCATCTGTTTTCTCGTCATGAAAACTTCCAGCCCTTGACTGACTGTGGACTGTACTGTACGAGTAGTGATCCTGCAAGAAATGTAACACTCCGTGATGTCTTGACTCAGCAACCTGCTTATCACACAGAAGGAATGTGTGCAGTGAGATTTCCTTCTGTTGATGGAAATGTTGTGTTGCGGTGCTCAATACTAGATCTTGTTTTTGAGTTACATTTGAATCCCCCCGCATTAAATTCACACTAAATTCACACCTTCTCTGCAACCAGATGATAGCTACGAGATCAAAAGCATGATTGTGCAGGAAATAATATTTAACATATCTATAATTCAAAACTTTTTCAGCACGTCTCTGCACATCATTTGGAATTGCAGATGAGTTGCTTATGAGTTGCAATTAAGATGGATTAAAAATGAACGAGTTTAAAATCATTTTTTCACAGTAGTTGTAGTAATGTATGTGATATGTAGTAGTACTAATTTTCTGTGATAGAGAATAGAGAAGACTTCTTACTGTTTGCCTTTGATGCAATTTACCTTGAAAGAGCTGTGGTCTGTGTGTTTGCACCTCTCTATTCTCTGTGTTACTGTATGTGCATAATTGTAACAGCATTATGTTTTAAACCACAGTTACATGAGAAGTTTTGAATTTTTGTCCTCAATTTTAGATTGTGGGAGGAAACCAGTGTGAATGTTTGAATAACTGCAATTAACAAGTGACGTTACTACAGATGTGATGCTTGTTTTGAGAGTGTTGATGGGGAAGTATAGATAAGGTCAGAAGGAGCTTCACTAAGTCTTTGATGTTCTACGTGAAGCATATGATAGGGTGTCCAGAGAGGAACTGTGGTGCTGCATGAGGAAGTGAGGATTGGCAAAGAAGGATATAAGGGTGGTGCAGGACCTGTATGAGGTCAGCGTGATGGTGGTGAGGTGTGCAGTAGGAGTGACAGATGGGTTCAAGGTCAGGTGAGTTTACTTCAGGGATCTTCTTGTTTGCAGTGGTGATGGACAGGCTGACCATCCACTGATGGACTGTGATGATTGCAGATGACTGTGGTCTGTAGTGAGAGTAGGGATCAAGTGGAAGAGAGCCTGGAGAGGTGAAGCTATGGTCTCAAGAGGAGGAATGAAAGTCAGTAGAAGCAAGACAGAATACATGTGAATGAGAGGGAGATGGGTGTAAGGGTGAAGGAGCAGAGGTGATGAAGGTAGATGAGTTTAAACGGGGGGTCAGCCATTCAGTGCAACAGACAGTCCACAAGAGAGATGAAGAAGTGAGTGCAGGTGGAGTGGGTGGAGATGGATGTCAGGGGTAATTTGTGACAGGAGAGCTGCAGGAATAAAAGGGAAGTTTTACAAGATGGTAGTGACACCTGCTAGGATGTGTAGCTTGACATGGTGGCACTGACAATTACACAGAAGGCCAGCCTGGAGGTGGCAAATTTTTATTGCAGGTGACCAAAATGGACAAGATTAGAAATGAGTTCATGCGAGGCACACATCAGGTTGGAGTCAAAGTTGATGAGCTGATTTGGACATGTACAGAGGAGGAGCAATGGGTATATTGTCCAATGGATGTTAAATATGGAGCTGTGAGGTGGTTTATGGATGTATTGAAGGAAGACATGCAGAGGGTTGGTGTGACAGTGGAGGATGCTGGGATATGGGGAGGGAGATTATCTGCTGTGGCGACCCCTAATGAGAACAGTTAAAGGAAGTGGTAGAAATATCTATTTGTAATGAAAACACAGACTCCCTCGTGTAATTCAGGATTATTTGACTGCTGTATCACTACCTTATAATGCCTCTGCATCTGTGCGTTATGCAGTATGGTGTAACTGAGCATTTTATTCTGTATGCTCTGTGTTGTTTGCAGGCATTTGAGCAGCAGTGCATTGCAGCACGGTGCACCGTGGTTTTGACAGTCATATCACATCAGCGTAGCCATGCTCACGTTGGCCAGTAAGCTGAAGAAAGAAGACGGAGGAAAGACAGGCCGTGCCTCCGGAGCCTCAGACTCCACCCACAGGGTCTCAATCAGAGACCGCCTCCTTACCAAAGGTACCCGGGTATTTTATAATTTGGTCCATTTTTCAGTTTCAGTTTCCCTTTTTTATTACAGGAACAAAACTAGATTTCAACAAGGTTGCAACAGTTTTCCTCTTGTGAATATAATCCTTCCTTCCTTCCTTCCTTCCTTCCTTCCTTCCTTCCTTCTTAACTGTTTCTCCATCTTAGCTTGACGGAGTGGCTGGAGTCTGTCCCAGCATTTGTGCTCACTGGTTAGGGTGAGAGTCACTTCTATGTTAGCTCTCTCTCTCTGGCTCTGACCACAGAGACAAAACATTCACTGTGCAGAGCGCCATGAATACTAGGATGCTCCTTGAGGCTAATTTACTAATGTTTTTAAATGGCAGCACACAGTCCGACTGACTCGTGTCATAGTAGTACACGCTCGGAAATCCGAGTCGAGCGTAATGGACGAGGTTAAATGCTGTCTCCTCTGATATTACGTGTGTATTCAAGAGTTGTTAGAAACACTTAATCATATTCTTAAATAATCAAATCACATTTTACATTTTGGGTTGTAGCCCTTGAACTTGTAGCATCTCAGAAATAATGGGCAACAACAAGTGTTCAGTAATAAAATAGGAGAGAGGTACTTTAACTGATTAGCATTAGAATGTTGACTAACGATAGCAGCAATTTTTAAACCTCTAGTTTAAACCTATAAGTGGGCATGCCCTGAGGTGAGACTGGCCACCTGCTCTGCGCTCTACAACTTTGTCTTCCTCCTCAACTTGAAACTCTGGTTGAAGGCTTGTTTTAGACACAGTAAAGTAGATCCAGAACATCGTAATGCAAGAGTGCAAGTGGTTAAAATGGGGCTTCCAGTGAGGGCTCTGCAATAGCAGGACGCCGCCCAGAGGTGCGCACAGAGATGATCTCTCCAAAGGGATCTTTCTTTATTTCTTTATGTTGCACGCATAGAATCATGGAGATTAACTTTATTAAAATATTAGTTGTAGGTAATACATCTAATTAGTCAGAATTTTTGTTTGAGCATCACGTGGAGAAATACCCAAATGCCATTCCCTTTGAGACTCCCAGCAGGTGACAGCTTTGCCAGTCAAGCATGCATGAATAATGGCAGCAGCTGCAGCTCATGACAACACAATAAGACCCAAGAGATGTAAACAAATTGGTTTCTTGATCAATGAATAATTTTGTGTTTCAACACAGAAAATAGCCTCGAAATAACTTTCACACTCACATTTCTGACGTTGTCTGACGTTATTATCAAACATGTAATCTTACAGTCTGCTGTCAGACTCTTATTTCCTTGGTCTTACACTCCTGAAGCTTTACCTCCACTAACAAAATGCTTTTCAGGCCAACTGTTGTAGTAAGACATTTGCCAGCCCTCCAACATAAAGGCTGCACATGTCCTTGCTGTATTATTGATATTTTGGTATTTTATAGTGCAAGTATATCATGTTTACAGACGCAAAATAAAGTTGGTAAATTTTATGTTTAACTTTTGAATGCATGACCGTATAAGTTGGTGATTTAGAGCCAACCATCCCAAAAACATACTTCACACAAATGTTTTTACACATATTCGTTTTATAGAGAGACCCACCTTCAGCCAGAAGGAAGGAGTCTCTTTTAGCTTTTCTTAGCTGGGGACAGGTGACCTAAATTGTAGGTGGTGGATTAAAGATTTTTCAAAATCTGAATAAGACTTTGATTTTTGGCCAAAGTTTGTTACTGTGAGCTACTCTTAATCTGATAAAAGCCCATCGTTGGTCTCCTTAGGCAAAACAGTAAGCCGGCGTTATCTCCGAGGGAGCTGTTAAGTAGATTACTGTGTACACACATTCTGTGTGGAGAAACAGATGAAACTCCAGCGACTTCCTTGAATTACCTAATTATTAGACTATGCACATCTCAAAGAGCATATTTACCAAAGTAAAAATTCTCAGCAGGCCACGTCCGACCAACAGCACCAGCTGCCCAGAGAAGAAAAATACAACGGGTATTTTTGTTGTGTATTTTTCTGGGAGGTAAAGGTGTTAAACCAGCCGACACGAATTAGGAGTGAAAAGTGTGTCAGTAGTGAGAAAACACAACAGACCCTGAACGCTTTTAAAAATTCAGCCCGACCTCGCCCTCTGGCAGCGAGAACAAAACAACCTTTTATCCTTCTTGCGTTGCTCTTCTCTCTCCCCGTCTCCTTTTTCCTACTTTGGCCCACCGTGTTACTCGCTGTGTGTCTCTGCTACACTGCGCTGTATGTAAAATACATTTTTTTGTGTATGAATTTCATATTAGACTTTATGTTTTATGCAGAGAAACTTTCCTGACAATGCAGCTACTAAAATATTACTTCATTATAAAAACACCAGTGTGGGAGTTTGAGTTCTTTGTGTATGAGGATATCACACTGTGCCTCATTCTTCAGCCTTTTTTTTTTTTTTTTTTTTTTTGTGTTTTTTCTGCTGTCTCACTCGTTCTTATTTTCTGCCAACAGAAGTTGCCGAACTTGAAGCCAATCTTCCTAGTAAGTACTTGCACTTTCATACACACAGCATTTTTTTTTTCCAGCTCCACGTTTTCCGCCAGTCAAAAGCGGCTGAAACTCTGACAACTGAGTAATTGGCCTAATTTGCCATAAATCCTCATAGTCTCCTTCTGGCTCTTAATTTCCTCAGTTATGGTATAAAGGAGGCAGGAAAGAAAACCAAGCCTCTGATGTGCTTCACGTTCTCTGTTTTTGACAAATTGCTTTGCTAATGTTAAGTGAAAGCTATTTGTAACCATACTTTAAGCCGTTATTACATTGCCACAAAGTTATTCAGCAACAACCAGTAACACGATCATTTTACTTCATGGTTAAAATGTTTGTAAAATGAGTGATTCATGGAAGACTACTTAGTCCAAATGACAGACTAGTGGATGTTTTTAAATGATAAGAGACAGCTTAGCATTATTTAGCTGCGCATTTTCAGCCAGCTCGTCGAGTTCGACCTCATAAATGTATCTGTGCTAAGCTGCAAGTGATTCATGTCTTTAAATATAAACAAAAGTGATGCAGGCCTGAGGACGTTTGCTGCTCGCTGTATTTCTGCCCTTCTGTATTTCTGGGGAGGTATTTGTTTAAACAGACTTTACACTTGGCTACTATTTTAGCACTTCCACCTCAGTATATCAGATCTTCTTTGGTAACTGCTATGCACAAGTGCAGAGTTCATCATGCTTGCTGTGGCTCAGACCAGGTTGCTTCTTTTTTTGGTTTTGTTTGTGGCCTGATGAAACTGATGTGTAGCTTGAGGGTCAATGAGCAATGTGTCATGCACACGGAAACAGGAAAGTAATACCGCCGATTGGCTTTCTTAGAAGATGTTTTTGTGAGATTCAAATTTAAGACACAATTCAAAGAGTCCAAAAAAAGCACTAGTGTGTAGTTGCTGGAGGTAGGCGCTGCTGCAGCGGGTGTTCGCAGTTTATTTGATCTCTTCCTCATATGACAACCTGAGTTCTTCAAATTGCTTTTCAAACAATCACTACAGTTGCTGTGAGGTCATGCGGCTCTTAGATGAACAGCAGTGTGAAGCAGGAGGCGTTTATGTTTCTGCAACCTGTGCTGTACAATTAAAGAATGATAAAATAATGTTCTGTGCAAAGTGCTTTTTTAAAGTAGTTTTTATTTATGGAAACCGGGCTTATGTGTCAAAACGTATTAGGATTTAATATATGTTAGAGGTGGGAATCACCAGACTTCCCACTATACGATATTACCTCAATACTTCACTCGAGATACAATTTTATTGTGATTTTCCATCTCACTATTGGAATAACATATATTTCACTTTTTTTATACTGCAAATTATCTCCCCAAGTTAAGCTTTTTCAGCATCTGTTTTGTCCAATAAGATTTTATCCAATCTGCTGATTACAAAGATCTAATTATTACATTTCCAATCAGCAACCTTCAATTCCATGTAATTACATTTTATTTATTTATACAGTGCCAAATTACAACAACAGTCGCCTCAAGGTGCTTTATATTGTAAGGTAGACTCTACAATAATGCATACAGAGAAAAACCCAACAATCATATGACCCTTTGGGGACAGTGGGAAGGAAAAACTCCCTTTTAATAGGAAGAAACCTCCGGCAGAACGGAGCTTCCTGTTTTATAGGCTCTATGTTAGTATAACAGAAAAGGAGGACCAGTCAAAACAAATCGAGGACCATATTTCTAAACGAGGGGCTACCTCTGTAGCATGGACATGGTTTGGTTATGAAAAGTCTGACACGGACCAGAAAACTGTACAATGCAATTTATGCAGAAAACCGGTCCCCACTACAGACTCAAACACGACAAACCTCTTCTACCACAAACTCAAGAGTCACGTAAAAGAGTACGGAGCGAGTTTACGGATGAAAAGCAAAATAGAGCCGTCAGGTGCTCAAAATGCACCTTAGACTTCAACGTTAAAACAAGCTTTTCCCCGCAGCACGCCGTGTAATAAATACTCACAAAGAAAATGGCGGCCGTTACAACTTGTATCTAAAACTGTAGTTTCACGGATTGGTCAAAACACTCGACTTCAGGTACACGGCGCTCAGCTGAAAACACTTCAAGTCGAGTTGCCCGAGATTCACAGAATTTACAGAAAATTTAAAATGTTTGTGATTTATATCGTTGTCTGGATGATAAATGTTTTATCAAAACATATCAATGTTTTTTTATTTTTTTTTTTAGATGCAAAGTGCTGTTTGTTTTAGGAACTCCCGAGTGCTCAAACCTCATTTGTTAAATATGTATGGACCACTACGTATCCTTTCTTTACGTCCCAGTATGAACGCTAAGATACCTTGAAGAGTATGAATTCATTAAATACGTAAAAACAACCCTCCCAGCTGTGAACACAGTGAGAAACACCTGTGTGAAGAACAGTGACAGATTTGTGTGCGCAGTCTTTCACTTTTATATTTGTGACTTTCTTGGAATCACTTAAAGCAGAGAGCTTTTCCTGTTAAAGGCAGTATGTTAAACGTAGGGTGGATGGGGAAATAAGAAGCAAATCAGATGTAAAAAAACAAGGAGGACTCGTGGCTGATGGACTTCACTGAGGGAAGTTTTGTTGTCCAGGTGAAAGCTGGGATTCATCCACCGTGCAGTGAAGACATTTTTATTCTCTATAGGTTTACGCTCATAAACATGTCTTAATTGTAACGGTTTACTTCATCACATAATTATTATTATTATTGTTGTTATTGATCCATTTATGTAAGTTTTTATTTGCAGCTTTTAAGACATCATTTTCATGTTTTGAGGTGAAGAAAGGTTGTAAACAAATTGATGCTGTGTTTAAATGCAATATGCAATCTTCTCATAGAGCAAGCAGAGCACTTTATTTCTCAAGGGCTCTTTAATGACACTGATTCAGACAACCAGGGTTTCATTAATTCTTTTCTAATCGGGGAGCAATGTGTGAAACACGTTATATTAACATTCTGATGCATTGACTGGCAGCCAGCCTGGTATAATTTGATCATCCTCTTCAGAATGAGTTTCTAGTTGGTGTGTGTGTGTCTGCATTACTCTGATATTATAACTTCCATTGTGCAGCACAGAGTAGTGTTACGGTGTGTGACCAAAGCCAATAGTGAGCACTGAGTATATATGCTAGAGCTGCTGGGGCTCATTTGCATATATATAATGTGAATGTGAAGATGGCAGTCTGGAGTCATTTTAAGACATAAAGGAATTATTTCTATTATTATTATTATTTAATCAAACAGCTGGTAATTATGTAAGTAAAACAAATAAAAGGAGTTCTTTTATAGTTTTAAGTGTAGTACCTATCCTTGAACACCAGGGGGGAATATGGTGCCACAGGGACTTTGAAATGCAAGGCAAAAATCCTGCACCAAATTAAGGCGGTATCAACATACCATGGTTAGAACAGATTGCAGTATGTCTTAGATTTTAATGCCTTTATTTGCCAGTAAGGCAAATATCTTCTGTTTTTATTATCTGACTCTAATGACTCTTTTTTTTTTTTTTTTTTCCTCTTTCCCCACATCGTTCGTGTCCAGGCACATGCAAAGCCAGTTTTCCAGATGAGGATAAGCTGCATCATTTTCAGCTGGCAGTGTCTCCTGGTAAGAAAATAAGAAAGCCTGTTTATATCCCGCTCTAAAAACTGCTTTGGTACACCCTCAAAAAAAAAAAAAGTTGGTTCTTATTCTAGTTATAAAAGTTTTTAAATCTCTGTTTCACTTAAATTTACTTCACCAGCACATTTAAAGATGAAATGGTGTAGTAAAAGAAGCTCTGACAGGGATGTTGTTGGGTTCAGGTGATTTAGTGTGAAGGAGAGGAGACTGCAAGTGTTTGCAATTTGTTTCTCAATCTCTGTGTGTCCTAAAGTATTCCCTTTGAAAGGCACTTAAGCATTCTCTGTACTTTCACATTACCGCAGCACTGTCCTCACTCCCCAAGGCAGTTGTGCTTAATCAGCATTGTTTCAAGCTCAGCGGGCTACCTGTCGAATATTGTACAAACCAAACATAGTGGTGTGGGGTTACCTAAGTCTCCGGAGGCTCTCATGCGTCCCACTTCCTGCTTCCTCTCCATCACACACAAACTGTCTTCCAGCCCAAACCCAGTTTCTCCTTATCATTCTCCTCATGTAGCAATCTGTCTTCATTTTCATCAGTAAACATGCCAATCCATAGACTGATAGAAATCTCAGTCATGTTGGAGCAATAGAAGGAGAGAAGCAAAGAAACAGAGCGGTAATAAATATATTATTTAAATATTTGTAGAATATTTCATCTAGCTAATAATTTAAGGAAGATGTCTTATTATGTTTTCACATTTCCCAACAACTACTCATCCAGTCCACATCAAAGCTGGCGGGTGTACGGCTCGGGAGTGAGTGGACTGAGGTCATGTGCATGAAGGATGGTCTCGGTTTGGAAGTTGTTTTGGAAAAGTTCGAGTTCATTTCTGATGGTTTTTGTGAGCAAGGCTTCGTCCACATTTGCAACTTTACAAATACACGGTAACACAAGTCTTTGCATGAGTGACTCCACTGCAGCATCTCAAAGAACTCTTTATAGAAATTAATCAGATGATTATAACATTAATGACCGCGAGACTGCACGTTGTTCCTTGTATTCTTAAAAATGACACCTCAGTGCATCAAAACATGGCAACAATGGGTTCTGAGTCCACCAAGCATCTGTGCATCAAAGGTCTTACTCCTACCTGTATAGTTTTAGTAACATGGGGGATTTAACCCTAAGTGTTAAGTTTGGTCTGGTTTTAGGTTTTAGGATAAGTGTTATGCTAAATTAGTTTTTTCATATGACAAGGCTTTTTGTCTTTTTCATTCACCATTCATACATTATTCCTTAGATAAAATACATTTATTGCAGCAATCACAGACTAATAGAATAAATTGGAGGGACAAATAAATTTTGTATAAGTTAAAAATATATATATATATTGGTGCGATTTGGTCTAATCGAAAGCATTTGAATTGAGTTTGTTAGTGGCAGTTTTAAGCTTAAACATGACTTTAGAGAACTGTTATTTAACTTTAGGAACTCATCAATATTTAAACTTTTTTTTCTTTTTTTTACAATGGAATTAATTGTTTAGGTTTTTTTTTTTGTTTTTGTTTTTGTTTGTTTTTTTGTCGGGCATTTAGAAATGAATTAATTTGAAAATTCTAAGCTGTCTCATCCTGTAATAAATGTGTGCCTTGTGTAATTGTGTGAAAGTGTAATTGTGTCTCGGTGATTCATCCACCTCTCCTCCACTGCAGTATGCACTGTAACGTTCAGGTTAACGTTCACAGAGGCCTTTGTAAGCAATATCTGCAGAGAAAAGCAAAGATCAGCAATTAGAGTAAAGCTTTGGTTTCGTGTTATTCTAAGAGGAGTTGATAAGGAGACTGAGTTCTCAGAAAAGGCTTGCTCAATTATTCAAAACCTTTGTCTCTTCTGGCGTGCACCACCTCGGCTCCACCCGCACCGCGCTCGGCTATCACATGCTCCCTTTTGCCATTTCTGTTTTCTGTCTTTGTTTAATCTTCCTTTTCCCTCCTCCTGTGCGGCTCCCTCAGCCGTCCTGCATTTCCTCAGTTGTAACCAATGTGGTGTTTTAGACAACAGCCCTGATCATTTGCTGGTCGTTTGTATTTCATCTGTGAGAACAAACAAAATATTGCCTCTCGTCAAAACACAAAATACTAATAGCCAAATCTAAAAGCATTTAAGCACAGGCACGATTACAGGAGTACATTTCTCTATAATGCATGTTAAAGGATGATACTATAATTTGTGTGAGTTTGGTTACTAAAAAAATAGCATCAAGCTTTTCAAATTAATAAATGAATAAATGGTGGATTTATAAAGACGTGTCATGTTACAGGTGTGTTTCTGGCAAAGCTGTATGAATATTTGTCTTATTTCCATTGTTAGATTTTTCCTTTAAGAATGGCAGTGTAAAAAGCTGACGTTACCCATGAAGCATCTTTAATTTGTGCTTCAGGGAAGGTAATTGTAGTCGGGCCGGAAAATGAAAAATCAAATGCAAGAGGAACTTGCCTCCGGATGCAGGCTGTCTAATATCTCATAGCAGCGTAAGGTAAAATCAGCTTGACTTGCTATGTAGAGCATTTTTAGCTCTAGGCTAAGCGATCCTTTGTTTTTCTTTTTTGCTTTTTTCCTCATGTTCTTTCATATTTTCTTCTCTTGTTCTCTATGTTTCTCATAGACCGTGGCACCGTTTACTCTGGAACAGTTTTCATGCTACAAGGGTTAAAACGTTGTTCTATAAAACTCACTGCTTTGGTTAGAAATGCATGAATACATTGTTCTGAAGGTAGCAGAGTGTGCTCAATCACTTTTTGTACCAAATGTGGAAAAAATATTGCTGAATCCTGTATTCATTTAAATGTTTGACTCAAAGGTTGTGCATCTTGGGCTCTGTGGCTCTTCATTTTAAAGTCAACTCTCTGATTTGATCAACCTGTAAAGAAGGTAAAAAATATATATATCAGTCAAGTGTTTAGGCAATGACACAACATTTGTAGGTTTGACTCTGTGTACCGTCCCTCATAGATTTTGAATCTTAGTCATTTGGTTCAAATTGCACTGTTAAACATCATTGGAGCATTTATCTGAATATGAGCAGAAAGTGGAGCCCCGTGCACTCCAGAATTCATCCTTCTGTTTCTGAAAGTGCTCACATCATCAGTAAACTCTAATCGCAGCCATACATGCCTATACCATAACATTGATTCCACCATGTTTGATGTGATATGCTTCAGAGCGCTCTCCTTCTCCTTACATTTATCTCCCTGTCAATCTGGATAAGCCCTCATTGACTTGTCTAGGTTTCATGAAATATTTGCAATTTTCTTGACAGGTTAATTACTTTTTATTTTATTATATTTTGTTTTTATTGACAACTCTTTCGACTGTTTATTGAGTTGCAGTGAAAAGATCCCAAATGCAACACCCACAACTCCACAGCTGGCTTAACTTGTCATAAAATAACGAGGTAGCTGCCCTCACCTGATTGTGAAACTGCTCGTCATAGACTTGTCCAATTACTTTTGAGCCCCTGACAACAGGGAACTATGTACAAAAATGGCTCTTATTTCTAAACAGCTAATACAATACTTTTGTTAAGCCCCTGGATGTTTGACTTCAATCACATCTTGATTGTTTGTTTTAAAAGCCATCTGGCATGACTGGTTGGAGGCTGATGGGGAAAGAGAAAAGAAAGGAAAAGCGTAGAGACCAAGGACAAGATAAAAGTGTGTGTGAGAGAGGAGATGAAAGTTGATGACATGCAGTGGTGGCACAAACTAAGCTGGCAATTTGATTCAGAGGGCTTTTGAAAATAGTACTTTTATATATTTAAACGTGTTAAATGGTGTGATTTTTAACAAAGGAAAAAATTTAAAAGGAAAAAAGGAACTCTTGTTGGTGTTTTATTCACAAAAAGCCTGATTCACTTTGCTCACCCATGGGGAGGAAATGCTGCTGCACTGATACTAATAACTTATCAGGCAAAATCCTGTAGTGGGAATGTTTTAATGAATAGAGCTTTGTGAGTCCTCTGAAAAGGAGATTATTTGTAAAGATCTAACCTTCATCTGTAATTAGTTTTAAATCATCTAAATCAGCAGGGCAAAACATCAGAAAATCACCTTTCAGATAAAGTCCTTGACAGTCACATATAATAGATCTGTAGGTCATTCTGGGAATTAAGCTGTATTACTATTGAAAGTAAATATTGATTCAACTATATAAATTTCACTGTTCTTTCTCATATTTTTAGTAAACAATTACTTGTAAAAACATTTTTTGAGCAGCTCAAATCATCTCATACATATCACACAAAGTAAACGACACAAAACCAAATTAAGAACACATGAATACTCATCAAAGGAAACATAGCTGGTGCTGGATTGGCTTCCCAGATCTAATTGAAACAAGGCAGGTGGTAGACAACACATTAGTTAGGTCTGTTGTTATTTAGTTGGAATGTCTGTGTACTTTTGTTTCTTTTCCCATGAAACACTCTGTGCTGTGACCCCGTGCTCTTAGACCCCTCAGTCTCCGAGGAATGGGGACACCAGCAACACGACGGGGTGAACGCATTCTCACATGTCACTGTTATTATTATTAGAACTACAATGATGAGAGAAAATTGATGTACCAATCGCCTTGTCTTTGTGCTGCATGGAAGCATAATTACAGTATTGTAATGGCCATTGTTGCTGCGTACAAAGTGTATGCGCAAGCCTGGAAGTGTGACTAAAGTTTGAATAAAGTAAAAGGGCCCAATCTTGATACAAAGTCAATTTTAAACATTTATTATGCTTTTCTAATTCGTTGCTAACTTCACTCACTTTTTGTTGCAGCCACGTCTTCAGATTTAGCCTCAGAATCACCACAGTTGGGTTTTTGTGTTTTCTGTTCGGGTTAAATACTTTCTGCTTTTTGATTTTTGGTTGTTAAGATGCTTGCCAGTGTTTGTTCCTTCCTGCTGTGAAGTTATTAGACTGATAAACACGGAGAACAAAAGTCCCGGCTAAGAGAACAGTGAGAGGTGCTGTAGAGTAAACAACTGTTGTTTTTTTCCTGCTGAGACATGACCATTGGGAAGCTACAGCAGCTGCATAGTCATCAGAAGTTCAGTGATGTCCAGCTTGTGCACAGCTTTAAGTGGCGCCAGAACCACCTATAGTTTGGTGTCGCAAAGTGTTGCTCTGCTTTTCAGCATATTTTGAGTCATAGTCTCGTTCTTCGTATTACTATATTTATTTTTTTTACCGTCAGGTTTTCAACATTTAGATGATCCGTGTTTATGTCCTGTTTAAAATGCCTTTCAGTAAAACGGTAATTATCTGTAAACACAGACATGCACTGCAGAGATCACTTTTCCACACGCCGCCTTCCTAAGGGGAAAATCACAAATACAATAATTCGTCCGGGTAGGGCAATAAATTTTACGCTGCAATCAGCGAGTCAGAGGCTGTTGATCCCAATAAGGGTTGAATATTTGTATTGAGTAGGATACTCGGTGTGAAGGGCAAAGCAGACCGACCATGATGAAGGGCTGAGCTTTGTATCCCTTATTTAAATGTTAAGCTGTTTCTTGATGTAGGAAGAAAGCAATCTTCTCAGTGCCCTAAACAGGCAATAAGCAATATACATAATTATGTTAAATCATGTGATAATCATGGTTTACAGAAATTTGGAGTTCAGCTGTGAGATTATTTGTTTTAGTGTTCATGAGAAGTGTTTAGTCACAACAAATACTGATTGTTCCTGTGTACTGGAGACAGTCATGAATTATTTATGACCTCTGACTGCAGCTGTTAGAAAAAAAATACTGACTGTCATATTCTTACTCCTCTTCTTTTTATGGGAGGCTGTGTAAAAAAATCTTTTTGTTACTTTGCCTTGTTGCTTTTGATTCCTTAGCTTTTTCTTTCTTTACTCCTTCTTGCTAATGTTGAAGCTGCGTTTCTCTATGTCAGTTTCTCTGTTTGTGTCTTTTACCTTTTAAAATACAGAGGAGGTTGTTTGCCGTCTAATTAAATCGCACCGCATTGTTGCATTGAATAGAATTTAACAATGTAATAATGTTTGGATAGAAACGAGTGATAAAAACTCTGTAAATAAAGCCAGACATGTTGACTATACTGAGCCAAGACTGATTTTTAGTATATTTCAGATCTCTCTTTGTTAGAATTGCATTGGGAAGGAAACTTATTGCTGATTACGTTTCTGGAACATCCCTAATTGTATTACAGTGGAGCTGATCCACAATATCAGAAAATCTTGAGTACACACACACACACGCACACACACGGATCATTTAATGGTCAGTTACCAAGGGTTTTTTCCATCCCTTGTCTCTCTTACCTTAATTTCAGCAGGTTGTCAGGAGTGACAAGTCCACCTTTGTGACAGGCTCAGTAGCCATTTCTCTTTTTTGTCTTTTTCCTTTTTCTTT